TTGGAGGTTCACGCGTTAATTGGCATCACACGTCAAACCCTCAATAGGGTGCCACACAACCAACACAAGATGAGGATCACACAAGCCATGAGCAATCCACTAGAGTACCTTTTGGCTCTCCGCTGGGGAAAGGTCAAGAACCCCTCACAATCACCACGATCGGAGCCGGAGACAATCACCACCCTCCGCTCGACGATCCTCGCTGCTCCAAGCCGTCTAGGTGGCGGCAACCATCAAGAGTAACAAGCGAATCCCGCAGCGAAACATGAACACCAAGTGCCTCTACATGCAAACACTCAAGCAATGCACTTGGATTCTGTCCCAATCTCACAAAGATAATGAATCAATGATGGAGATGAGTGGGAGGGCTTTGGATAAGCTCACAAGGTTGCTATGTCAATGTGAATGGCCAAGAGAGTGAGCTTGAGCCGGCCATGGGGCTTAAATAGAAGCTCCCATGAAATAGGGTCGTTGTACCCCTTCACTGGGCACAACACGGGGTGACCGGACGCTCCGGTCATATCGATCGGACGCTGGACCTCAGCGTCCGGTCACATGATGCACGCCACATGTCCCTCTCTTCAAATGCTGTGCGCCCGATCTCAACGGTCAGAAGACGACCAGACGCAGCAGCTAATAGTGACCGGACGTTGAACCCCCAGCGTCTGGTCGTTTCTAGTAAGCTTCCAGAAATGATTTTTCCCGACCGAACGCGTCCGGTCATGCTTGACTGGACACAACCAGCGTCCGGTCACATGGTGACTTCCTCTATGCTGCCACGTCGGCATGACCAGACGTAGCCTTCCAGCGTCCGGTCGCTGAGCGACCCAACGTCCGGTCGTTTGACCGACGCCAGCGTCTTCGCTGTTACAACTGGCCGGACGCGCTGGTCCCTCTGAGACCAGCGTCCAGTTACTTTGTGACCAGCGAGACCAACTCCTTTTTACCTCTATCTTCTTCACCCTTGCTCAAATATGCCAACCACCAAGTGTATCACCTTGTGCACATATGTTAGCATATTTTCACAAACATTTTTAAGGGTGTTAGTATTCCACTAGATCATAAATGCATATGCAATGAGTTAGAGCATCTAGTGGCACTTTGATAACCGCATTTCGATACGAGTTTCACCCCTCTTAATAGTATGGCTATCAAACCTAAATGTGATCACTCTCTAAGTGTCTTGATCACCAAAATAAAATAGCTCCTACAATTCATACCTTTGCCTTGAGCCTTTTGTTTTTCTCTTTCTTCTTTTCAAGTCTAAGCACTTGATCATCACCATGGCATCACCATCACCATATCATGATCTTCATTTGCTTCACCACTTGGAATGTGCTACCTATCTCATGATCATTTGATAAACTAGGTTAGCACTTAGGGTTTCATCAATTCACCAAAACCAAACTAGAGCTTTCACCGTCTCTGCTAGAGCGATGAACTCGCTCAGTCTACCAGTGTCGTACTCAGCCTCCTCCGCCTGCAAGCCCGCCTCTGCTAGAGCGATGAGCTCGCTCAGTCTGCCAATGTCATACTCAGCCTCCTCCGCCTGCAAGCCCGCCTCTGCTAGAGCGATGAGCTCGCTCAGTCTGGCAGTGTCGTCCTCATCCTCATCTCCCTCATCAGACAACACAATCGGTGATTGAACGGTGCGACTAGCTCACGTTCTATGCTCATCTAACTTTTTTTCTTCATACCTTGCACGAGCCACCTCTCCGTCATGGTCCTCGCTGCATCCAATCCCTTCATGTATAAAATGCAATCAGTTAGCAACGTGATTATATTACATTTAAAATTGGGCAACGAAAAAAGGCTTTCAAGCACTCACTGGCACATAATGCAACAACATGCTCGTTCAAGACCTGCATTTGTACTCTTGTCTCCTCCCTTGCCTCCTTGCTTGCCCTCTCCTCCTCTAACACCCTCCGTCTCTCCAATCCCTATTTGTCAAGCCCAATATCGACCGGGTTACGAATACCACACTGTCTAGCAAACTCACGCATCTTGTTTTTGTGATGTTTAACGAATAGGTTGACGTAGCCAGATCCATATCCCCTCTTTCCGTGCAATTACTTGCCTCCCCTTTAGTTTATCCAATAACTTAGCTTGACCATCATAACATTCTCACCTGCATTTCCTAGTGCTCTGTTCAAACAAAAAATTATATCATATATGTCTTAGCAAAAGAAACAAAATACGATTTCGTGTTTACCACAAAAATAACCAACCTCATCATAGTCAACCATATGGCCGCAATAATGGCCTATTCCAAGCTCCGAAGGGACTAGACCGTAGTTGGATTTAACACCACATTCGCACTTGACTAGAGGTGCTTTGTAAATTAACCTTTCTTTCTTCTTTTTCTTTGCCTTTGGTGGCTCCGGCCATTGATTCTTAGGACTATAGAGCCACTCCTTGAAACGACACTTCGCAAATCCATACACCTAAAAGAGGAGACATTAGTACACGCACACATAGAGATAAACATTTAAACAGATACACTTTCCACTTACTTCGTGCTTGTTCGGACACACAAACTCCAACGTATTCTCAGGGTTTATCATAGCTCGATCTCCGTATTCGCACAGAGGAGGTTCCTTGAGTCGTCTAACTATGGCTAGGTGCTTCTCCTTAGCCGTCATTGGCGGGGGGTTAGGGGGGTGGAACCCACCGCTTGAAGTGCTCATGTGGATGTCTCCCTCTAAACCAATCGTCGAAAAAGAGGTACCTAGGGTTAAACTTGTCTGCACCGTCGATCCACTGAAAGAAAAGGCACCTCTCATGGTCCTACACAACAAGATTCCAATAAAATATTAGTAGCATACTTACACAAATAAAGAAAAAAAAGATAGTGGAAATAATTTCTTACATTAAAACGACTGCATGTGTTGAAGCAACGCGCCGCTGTGTCCGGATGTTTCGATTGAAACACGTGGTCTGGGAAACCACAGTCACAGTTAGGGATAGGGAGGTCAGGAGGGACGGGGGCATCTTTGCTAGACGCGTCGGGGTATAATTCTCGAGGATGACCCCGTTTTCGCCAAAACTCCTCTCGATACATTTCTTGCATCTAACAAAACGGATGTAATTTAACAAACAAAAATCAAAACATCACAAATTAATGTCAATGAGAACCATAACTATAATACAACCAATTTCGTTCTAAGAACCGAAAGCAATTATCATTAAACCCTAAACCTAGGGTTTTTAATGTTATGCACAACAATGAACCCATAACATAACAACATGCGCTGCGGTTACCTAGGTATAACACAAATATTAAAAATTGCATAAAACTCTAAGTAATGACGATTCTTAGGTTTAAAAATCCGACTAATATATAACGAATCGATGCAAAAAAAACTAGGAGGGGAGCAATGATACCTTGCTCTCGAAGATCTACGGATCAAATCAAAGTTTCCAAGGTCCAATATGTCGATTCGTGAGGTAGGGCGAAGTGGGAAGAGAAAAAACCCGAGAGTGAGGAGAAAGAAGAGGAAGAAGGCTCGGGTAGGAAGGTTGGGGCCGGGGTTAAAACACCACCTCGGCGCCATAGATCATGGCGTCAAGCTCGGCGCCAAGATCTACGGCGCCGAGCTCGGCGCCAGGGTTACTGGCGCCGAGCTGCCTGTCATGTCACAGCCACGTTTGCTTCGAGCCCAAGAGCTCCGCTAGCGCCGAGACGTGTAAGCTCGGCGCCAACAACGATGGTGCCGAGTTAAAGGTCCAGATTTTAAAATCTTACCTCTATGCGCATATTTGTGAAAAAAAATTCAAAAAAGAGGCTAAAAAATAAAAAAAATCGGCGCGCCGCCGCTCCTCTCTGCTTCCGCTGCCTTCCCCTGCGGTGACTCAGCGTAGTAGTTCCACGTCTCCACCTCACGCGGTTCCGCTCCCTGGCCCCAGGCAGGCCGCCCTACTGCCTCCATTCCCCGGCTGCAAGACGCCCGGCGGGCGGTCCTACTCTGCTACACGGCGCCCCGCCAACTTGGTCGACGACTCAGCTGCACGACGCGTCGGCACCCTTGCCCCTTCATCTGAAATTTACTATTTTCATATGATTTTTTTAAGGTGAGTTTGCATCTTAATTTTTGCATGTGACATATTTGTATGCACTATGACGAATGTGCTAAATTTTAGATTTTTAAGCGACTGAAGTCAAATTGATTTTCATGCGTTCTATCTAGTAAGTGGTTTGCACTATATATTTTGCTAGCTAGCTCAGTAAGAATCAACAGGTGCCGCAATATTGGGCTGGCGAGCGGCATAGCACGTGTCTGCACAAACCAGCGACCAGCGGCTGCATGTCATCGCTGATCAAGGAGCAAACAATTTGCATCGGGGCCTTCCTCAATCTCTGCCCGTTTTCTCCGGAGGAGAAACGCTGACTTGGCTGCATCGGCTTCGGCTTGATCGCCCAACGCTACTAGACAATATTGGCCGTGTTCAGTCCAGCTAAAAGCTGTTGTGGCGGCAGCTGCTGTAGTTCAATCTACAGTAACATTGCGATCAAAAGATACAGTCGTAGCCCGTCCCTGCAGCGAACATTCCCATTAACCTTTTACCGTTATTAAGATTAGCATCTCTTGCACGAGCGCATCAGGTTGAGACAACTCATCACACGCCAAAAGTGCATCAGTAGGATAACGAACTCGATTTTTTGCAGCCACGACATCCAATCACTCTAGCAAATCTACAATGCTGGAGCGAGGACCAAAATTCCCAAATAGGCCACAATAAACACCTGGGTATCGATACGGTCCACAAGAACGAGAATCACATAAATAAACAAGCTGCAGAGAGTATTGTCAAATACAACATCCATCTTACGTTCTCTCACTTGTCTACAGTATGCATTCAGGAGGGTTCAAATGTAAGCACCACATGTTGCTGGAGCAAATCAGTTTACAGAGTGATAAAACTAAGACAAGCGTTCAGGCTGGCTGCTCACAAGTGATGCTGCTATTGTTGTTCGAAACAGTAAATCGTCAACAGGCAACTTACTCCACCTCTTCCAAGAAATCCTTGATCTCTGCTGGGCTTAGAACTCTGTATTGTGTATATGGAAACTGTTAGTTCTCAGCAAACCATTTGATTGTAGCAAGGAATCTGTAATATCATCGAATAGCTTTAGATTTGCAACAATAACAAAAACAGAGTAAACACAAACATTTCCCCAACAGCGAGAGGGGCACAAGTTACAGAATCTTTGTAAAGTCAGGGAGCAAATGAATGATGCAATAATTTAATCATTTGATGAGACAAGAGGAACATTAATCACATAAAAGTGGCAGTAAGATTGAGTCTGTAAAACTTACTTGAACTCACGGTCAGCTCGAAGAATTCCGATTTCAATATTGTTGGAGGAAATTTGCCCCTCATATCTGCAAGTCCAAGATCCAGAACCAATTAGTAACTACATAGGATGTTTCTAAACTAAGCAAATACAAGTGGGATGTGATACCCTTCTTTCAGAGTCAAAATTGCAGTGTGGATGGCATCATCAAGCTCCATATCTTCTGTGTATCTACAATGAAACCATAAATATAACATGTGAAATCAAAGAGGGAAAGGATGATCCGTTATGGCATACGTGCTGCTTATTTTAATCAATGAAAGCCGTACTATGTTACAACTCACAACAGTGCCTAGAGCAAGTGCACAACATTACTACATTGAGACTACCTCTTTTCAAGAAACGTCTTTGCATTGGACACATTTTTTCCCATGGCTGATGCTTTCCAGGAGAAGTATGATCCTGAGGGATCAACCTGAAGAAATAGCCAACAATGTCAGTTGTCCTGAATTTATTATGAAGGAATACATCCTACAATATCATGGTGATTGTTAGCACAAAAGTACACATTTTCCGCTTTATAAGTACTACTTGTGAGGATCTCTTGTAAGTTATGACTAAATCATATGTGGGAACAATATATAAATTTGTGAGGTTGACATTCTGTGTCGAAGTAGGCATTAGAATAATTGGAGTAAAAATAAACAGGTTTCTATCTTGTAGATTCTTCAGTATACCTGATACAACTGCGGGCCATTGTCATCATACCCGGCAATCAACAACGATACTCCAAATGGTCTTACACCACTGAAACAAACAAAGATCACAAATAAAACTCATTACCATATACCTATCTCAGGCTCTCATGAATCACCTTAACACCAAACAATAGAGGCTAGTATGTGTTTTGACCAGATGGTGTACATCCCAGCAAACTCTATTAGTTTAACTTTTTGTTCAAGCCATCAAAACGACATCAAGTGCATCAATAAATGGAAATAGGTACTAAATGTCATATATATAGTGCATATTTTATGTATGATGCTGGTTAACTTGCTTGGCAACTAAATAATATTTAACCCTCAACCACTTAAAATCACCAATTAATTGAAAATCAATAACTGGAGAGCACACAGGGATACTATAAGATCTTTAAAAGTGATTGCAATACATTTAGGTAATGTACAAATAAGGGATTAAAAACAGCTAAAACAATACAATGTTATGCCAAGTGTATACTTTTAATATAAAAAATTTATTTAAATACCGATTATATTATACAACCATGCAGATAGTCGCGTAAATATGAACAGCTTAATTAGTTACATACCCTGACTGTGTGAACTCCTGCATGACAGCAGCAGTCTCTCGTACAAGCTGTGTTACAGGTATGTGCTCCTGCATTTGACAATGAAACAATAATTAAAAACACATTTATCTACTTGACAGCAAGCTTGCAGAAGAGAACGTTTTTAAAATTACAAATTCATTTCAAATGATGTCTTTAACATATGAGAACTTTTTTAACTATCCTTGAAAAGATACAAGGAGGTACCAAAATGAAAACATGAAGTTAGTACCTAAGGTACCCGATTTATCCTAGGTACCAAAAATCGATGCCACCCCTACTTAGATACGATCATATTAAGGTACCTCTTCATACCTCTAATGACTGTAAGAAGTCTCTTACCAGATACAGAAATATTTTCCAGAAATCTAAACTAAACAAATTGACAAAAGGTATACCTTGTACAACCGATAATACTGCTGTGCCTGCTTTCGACTTTTTCTCACCAGAACACGAAAATCTGGACCCATCCCACTGAAAACAGTGCAAGAAAAGTGCATGAGTAAAACATAATAGAGAAAGACTTGGCAATTGAGAAGATGTACTAAAGGTCCATAACTTCAACAATCACATCAAACTTCAACACAATTGTAATGTATTCCAATTCCAAAATACTACTAGAATATAAAAATGAATACAAGATCAACCAAGACTGTGTACCTGTAGACAACTCCAATATTTGGTGTTAGTGCCTGAATCTTTTGCACCTGGAAAGTATTTCACACAGGTATCTGTTTAGCACTTGGGATAGAGGAAGGGCAAGAATGTGGCAAATAGAAAATTCAAAAACTTAGGTACACATACAGATGTTTCATCCACTAAAATAGAAGGCAATTTCTTCTCAGTGGCGATGACTACACCATTGGCAGCTGCAAACAAGACATATTCCAGAATTAAGAAGCACAAGTAAAATAAAATGGTTTTACTGCCTAACCAGTGAACATGTATACTACATAGAACACAACAATTCGACTGAGAAAAAGACCAGCATGGTGAATCATTACACTACAGCTACTGAACCTATCAATAATGACTTCATAAGGAATGTCAAATATCATGTTAATTAGGAAGTTCAAATAACAATCTTCATGAAGTTTGAAATAACTTTTAACTTCCACAGCCCATCTTTGGCTGAGAGGAACCATTAGCTGATTTCTGTGCAACTGTGTTAGTGAGTGCTCTTGAAGGGCAGGCCTGGTGCAGTGGTGAGAGCTGTCTCACTGAGTCACCAGGTCGCGGGTTCAAAGCAGCCTCTCCGCAGATTTTGCGGGGGGGAGGCTTGCCTTGGTTTTTCCCTTCCCCAGACCCCACTCATGTGGGAGCCTCCGGCACTGGGTCTGCCCCTTTTTGTGTTAGTCAGTGCTCTGGATATGAAGTGGGCAAACAAACTCTCAATTTCCAACAGTCCCCATTCAACATTGAAGCATCCAGACAACAATAGATCTGCATCAACTTCTACAGCACGACAAGCATTACGAACAAAGAAAATTTGGGCAGATCTAAGCATGCACATGGTGGAAAATTAGGGAAAGTTTGTCAAATGTATAAGCAGTTTAGCACCAATAGTCATCAAGGAATTTACAAACCCAACCTCAAATGACTTGATAATACGCGTTAGATTAGAGAAATAATCTTAATAGTGACTAAAATTGGTATAATAATCTTTGATTAGTCAGGGTTTTTTTGTGTGTGTGCACCTCTCAACCTAAACTTTTGAATCATGCAATGCCCCAAGCAATCATCCATACAAATTGACTGCAAATGTGTGTAGGTATCTAGGAGACAAGAAAATCACAACTATATACACAGTTGAAATTACATCTAGGTATCCTCAATTAACACTGCGATGCTAACGAGAAAGGATGAAAGCCCTAGTCAAAGCTAAGACACAAACACACGAAAAAGGGTGAAAACCCTGATCAAAGTTGAGACACAAATACGCGAACACAAACCCAAAATAATACACTCCACCAAGAGGACCATAATTCTAAACCCTCGGCAATGCCCTAATGTTGTGCACGAGATAACACGTCATAATGCCGTTTCAAATTGGTCACGAACTTCTCGCTACCTATAGCAACGGCAAAATACCAACATAAGAAATCAGAGGGGTGAGAGGGGATTGCTGCGCGAATCGAACCTTTGATCCCGAGCGAGGTCTGCCCGGATCCGACAGCCGTGAGCGCGTGCTCGATCTGCACAAGCTTTCCCGACGGGCTGCAGCGAAATCAACCGGAAAAAGGTCAAATCAAACCACCGTAACGACACAAAATCTCCCCCGATCTCGATGGAGGGGACAAGCAAGCGAGAGACGTAGGGAGGGGAACACGAACCTGAAGGTGGTGAGGGAGAAGGAGTACTGGCTGTCACCCATGGCCGGAGCGTGCAGTCACCTCGTTGGCTCTTCCGGGCTGGAGTGTCGGCGATTCGTGGCAAGGTTTTGCTGCTAGCGAGGGAGCGAGGCGGCTGAGGAAAAGAAGGGGAAGAGGACGACGAGACGGAGTGGGGGAAGAGGTGGAATCGCAGGAGGAAAAGGTGAGTGGAGTGTTTCGCAAGAAGAAACCTTTGGGCTGGAGTCCAAGTTGGATTTGGGCCGGTTATCTGAGTTGGTGACGAAATAGAGTTTGCAGCTGGGCTGAGCTGGGCCCACCGCCTCCTCTTCTCCAATTCTACTTCCACATTCCCCGGTTGGCCGGTTCCTTCCCCCCGATTACCTTTTCCGACGGCCACTTCCCACCGTCGCTGCAGCAGCTCCTCCCTGCTCTCCGGTGACTTTCCCCACGCCGGAGTCGAGGCCCCGGTGCCATAAGCCCAAGATTCGATTGGTACGCTCTATTTCTTCCCGCATAACACGTATCTTTCCTTCGATACGTATACGGTTGAGGTTGAGAGAAGATTTAGGCCTCGTTGGGCTGGTATTCACCTCAATTAGAGTGGAATGAAATGGAATTTAGTTTAATTTCACTCCAATTCACTTCAACACACGTGGACTGAGACGAATAAATGCGCATCAAAACAAGACCTTAAGGGCGTTGAGGAAAGTAGCGGCTCATGTCGTCGGGTCAGGGGAATTGAAGTTCCTGACCGATTTCGGTGAGCGATTTGTTGTAATCGGGATGGCATCCTAAGTCCTCCGCTGCCCGCCGGGCATGATCGATCTGATGAGCGGGGCAGGCAAATACCCAGATCGGTGGCACCGGCGTTTAGAGTTGAAGAGGAGCTGGGGTAGATTGACTCGGGTTCTTCATTAGTACACACCGTTGTGGATGCTTGATCTTGGCATGATTTAATATCTTTGTTTGAAGTGTGATTCATGTATTCCAGCAGATGATTTTGTACGATACAATTTTAGAAATTTGTCCATCCTGGACTGCAGTTAGAGGAACACATTTACCTTCACTAGAGTATGATGGTAGAAGAAAAAAATATTTATGATCAATAAACATTCTGTGTGTCTATGTACTCTGTAGTCAGGGGCCCAATTTTTTGTTGTGCCAGTCTTTTTTCCCATTTGATTTGATGAGAACTTGTTGCTGACTGCTGAGTGCCTAGTTTATGGCTTTTGTGTATTATTGCTAGCTTTCTGAATCTAGCTCCATGATGTTTATTCTTAGTTTGGTATTTTGTTGTCCGTGACAAGCTCGTTATAGTTCATTTCCACTATAGAGTTTTGCTGAATCTTTCTAACTTAGTCTTATTTCTTATTTTCCAGCATTCAGTGACGTCTTTGCCTATATAATACTGTGGTCTTAACTCTTTAGTAGAGAAAGGAGAAGATGCAGGTGAGTTTGCAATTGCTTCATTAGCACATTGATTGCATACCCGTGCTATATGCCAGTCATCCCATAAAATTTGAATGATCATGTTTCCTTAAGCTACTTGATGCATCAGTCATGCCACTATGCAAGATCTTATAGCTAGCAATTTGCATTCATAGTGAGCAATGTGATCTTTTTCCCGTTACCACTAATTTATTGTGTATTGATTCAAGTCTGTTGTAAGTATATAAAATTAACTAATGATGAATGAAATGAAACTGTTAATTACTTACAGTATGGTGTTATAGCTATCCAGGAAAATTCTACGTGCTACATCAAATCCTGCACCACGCCCATCGGATATTTTGTGCCACAAGGGTTCTTAACATGAAACCTAAATCTTTTTGGCAATATCTTTTTATCTCTAGGCATCTAGGGCAAGGCTTTTCAAGGAGTACAAGGAGGTACAGCGAGAGAAGTCAGCTGACCCTGATATCCAATTAATATGTGATGATTCTAACATATTCAAGTGGACTGCTCTTATCAAGGTAACTTTTTATTGCAGTAACAAGATCAGCTGCTTACTATCGTCTCTTCTAATTATCTATATTTATTATGTGGTTAGGGCCCTTCTGAAACACCTTATGAAGGTGGTGTGTTTCAACTTGCATTTGCAATTCCAGAGCAGTATCCTCTGCTGCCTCCTCAAGTTCGATTTTTGACCAAAATTTTCCACCCAAATGTGCATTTCAAGGTTATACAAGACTGTGATGCCCTGTTTTATCAATTATTAAATGTGAATCTTCAAGATGAAGAGGAAATTTCTGTTTAGTTACATTTGTTTTCCTTTTTTTCTGTTTTTAGACAGGTGAAATTTGTCTTGATATATTGAAGAATGCATGGAGCCCTGCATGGACCCTTCAGTCTGTTTCTAGAGCGATAATTGCTCTGATGGCCCATCCTGAACCAGACAGCCCACTTAACTGTGATTCAGGTACCTCTTTCTTCCTACTTATGATTTTTTATGTACCATGTTCATGTTCCACTCTATATCAAACTACACTACATGAAAAACTACGACATTCTACTACTTCGCTATCTTTCTGAATTAGACTGAAATGATACAATATTAATCTAAATGTTGTAAACTTCAACATATGGTACTTTAGGGCATTTAAGAAATATTAAGCTATTGCTGTAATGGAGGCCTGAACATCTAAATGAGAATACATATCAAGTATCAGGACTCATGAGTGACATCACAGCAAGGGAACCATTCTTAACTCTAATATAAGGTGGTAGCCAAAAGAGAAAAAAAATTCATTCTGAGTTGTCAAATGTTAGCAGAACTTCTATGCAATGGCACAGCTAGATTTTTAAGCAGTTGCATTACAACTTTGTAATACAACTAGCTGTTGTAACTTCTAGACCTAATTACTCTACACCATTACAATATGGCCCGACCAAAATAAGCGACGCTGGTCCTTCTCATTTTCCAATCAATTGATTTGTTTGTTACCTTTATGGATTATTGTGTGATTTTTTGGCCTTAAAGCAAAAGATGCCACCTTCTTCTCACTGACTTTGTAAACTTATGTAGGTATTTTCTCTCTCTTAATATGATCCCATCAATGGACTCTTTGCTAGCATGAGTTAGGATCCTCTAAATGTGCAGTTATAAACCATATAACGTGGTTCTTCATTGTGAACCAAAACATGGACCAACTGAAAGCTTGAACATAATAACTAATGAACATGGACCGATCTATACTATTAGAACACCTGGTGGACAAGACATATAGCTTCTGCATCTTGCAAGATCCCTTTCTGATTAATGATGCACTGCCGATACAAACCTATCTGATATTCTGAATCTGTCTGTATTTTCTGGCTATCTTTTTGCTCAATGATGATAGGCAATCTCCTGCGGTCGGGTGATATTAGAGGCTATCAATCAATGGCCCGCATGTATACAAGGCTGGCGGCCATGCCAAAGAAAGGTTAGCTGTAGAACATGTGCCAAGCCAAGAGCATATGTCAGTCCATGCGTCGCTACATGTTGTCAGGTCTGCCTTGTGCTGTCTGAACTGTGGTTCTTGTTTCCTAAATCCTAACCATTCATATGCGTGTGTTTGTGTGTTCTGGGGTAGATGGGAGAAATCCTGGATTCTCGATGGTTTGTCTGTGATGTAATAAGTCCTGGAATTCAACAGTTGCTACTACTGATCTATTTTAGTAATCAGTTAAGTCAGTACCTGCCTTGGCTGCAACACTCCGAAGGTCTCTTGTTTCATATGCTGTCAGCTACTGCGACATTCTTGGAGGACACATTCAAGAGACTGCAGCACAATACGTTGTGATTGTGAGCATTGTGATAAGCACTATGACTTTTATTCCTGAACTTTTTTTTTCCCAATCGAATTACAATTGCATCTTTCGTAGAAGGCGAAAAGGAAAACCCCAGATCAGCCGGCTTTGCCGGACGAGTGGGGGCAGCTAGGTGAACGCCGTTGGGGGCATCTTGGTGCCGGCCAGGAAGTTGCTGAAGAGCGTCAGCGCCTGCCGCGGCGCGTGCAGAGGCACCTCGTGCCCGGCGCCGCGGATCGTGACGAACGTCAGGCCATCGTACACGATCGTCCATCCACCAACCTGATTTTTGATTTTCGGCGGAGTAAGGCGTTAGCTCCATGCTCGAAAACCAGCTGCTGCTTCGTCGGGATAGTTAGTGTTACCTGCAGATGGTCGTACCACGGCGTCCACTCCTGGACGGTCTTGAGCCCGAGCTTGTTGAGGGTGAGCCTCGTCGCCGTCACGGGGATCCTCCCGTCGGTGTCGCCGCTGAAGACCCACACCCTGAGGCCGCCGGCGACGAGCTTGCGGATGATGGGCAGGGTGGAGAAGGCGGCGTCGTTCCAAGTGCCGATCACATCGCTGCGCCAACAGCACGTTTCGGTTTTGGTGCTCCGAAACCTGAAGAATTTTTTTCAGAGTAACGAGACACGACGACGCACCTGCAGTGTGTCCAGTTGTAGCCGATCTTGGTCACGTTGGCGTGCAGCGCCGCCTGGACGTCGGGCCGGTTGAAGTAGACCTCCGCGTACTCCGCCGTGCAGGGGTCGTAGCCCGCCGGCTTCATGATCCATCCTCGCTGCAAAAAAAGGAGACGAGATCATCATGATGTTGCTCGCAAAAGAAATACGCCATGTACTATCCCTGAACAGAAATGCACAGCAGGCTTGGATGCTCAAACGCACGCACGTATTTGGAGAAGATCCTCGGGGCGGCGCCGTGGACGGCGACCTTCCGGTGGGAGGACGCCGACGCCGACGAGCCCGGATCGGTGCAGACGGGGGTGTAGAGGCTGTACATGTCGATGAGGCGGTACACGGCGAAGTACTCCTGGAGCGCGGCGTCGCAGGCGTCGGTGACGTTCACCTTGCTGAAGTCGCACTTGGCCTTGACGTCGCCGTACACCCGGTCGGAGATGACGGCGTGGTCCCAGGCGTAGTCGATCATGCCCGTCTGGTCCGTCTCGTCGTCCATGAGCGCGTTCCCGACCATCAGGCCCTTGAAGTTGATGTAGCTCTTCTTGGGCCCCGCCCTGTTGCCGTCGAAGATCTTCTCCGACAGCTGCGGAACGTAGTGCCCCGCATAGCTCTCGCCGGCGATGTAGAAGTCGTGGGACTTGTACTGCGGGAACCTCTTGAACCAGTTGAGCAGGAATTTGTAAGCGTCGTCAGCTGCATTACCAGAAAACATGACAGTCAGTGAGTAAGTTCAGATATGGTTGGAGACCGGAATCATCCAAAACCAAGGAATTGTTTGTCTTGGAAGAGATCATTACAGAGGTTGATCGTGATCTACTGTATTACATACCGGTGATCTTGTCACCAAGTTGCAGCAGGTCGGAGCTTGTGTTTGTGTAGGAGAACCCGACGCCCACCGGGGACTCGAGGAACATAAGGTTGGCCTCTGCGTGCAGTTGGTTTGTTTTGTTTTTAGCAAACTGAAACCTTAGGTATCGACATATATATAGTACTAATAATATATATAATACTACAACTGTGTGCTGTCTTAATATATCAGTAGTACATTAATCACGTGCCTGTGTTCCAGGAGTAGTTGTTCCATCTGAGCTCCGGCTTGCCCTTCTGCACCAAGAAGGGCCCCAGCTCCTCCGCTTCCCCGTACCCAATCGATGAGCACCCAGGCCCTGCAACGACGACGACGACGACACTTTTCAGTCCCAAAAAAAGAAAAAGAAAAATCCTGGCCAAGAAGCATTATTAGATACTACAAGTATAATCTCTGAATTAAAATGAAAGCAGGTATCCAAATTCGAGCCGAAGAAAACCCAAACACGTCCTGCTACTAGCTCAAGATTACGAGAAGAGCAGACGAGTGGGAACGGAGCCCCGCCTCGACAGCCGACAGGGACATGAACACCCCAAGGTTCGCGTTGCGACACGACGCGAGTTGTCGCTCAATCATAGCCTAGGCCGCCCGTGGACCGGTCAGTGGAGACCGGAGAGTGGAAGCAGAGCAGCGCAGCAGCGACGGTCAGAAGGAAGAATCGTTGTCGCAGTTTCAACGAGATGGAAACCTACAGCTACAAGCAGAGGCAGAGGCAGAGGCTACAGCGGTTATGGCGGTAAGATGAGATCCATCCTTGGCATGCAATCGTTCGCTGATCGACGCGCTAGCTTCTGCCGCTCCATCCCGTCCGTGACTTGTCACGGGATCGATCGGCTGATGAACGGCGACTGCAGTGATGAGTACGGCTGCGCAGTAGTGGAGTGCACACTGCACAGTGCCATGCTGTGGTGGGCCGGAGGCTAGCACGCGGTCAATGCATGCAAGCCGGCCGTTTTGCCACCACCGGCGCGGCGCAGCCACTCGCTACTACGCTTCTTGCACTGGGAGGTGGGACGAGCGCTGCGCAGCTACTAGCGCACCACCTACCATTTGTTCACATCTTTTCTTCTCCGGCCTGCGGGCCTGGTCCCCGGCCCGTCGTCGTCTGGCCGGGATGGATCGCTAGCTAGCTGGTGGCGCACGTACTGACGACGTACGTACATACGTTTCGTGCCATGCCAACCTGCTCCCTCTTGCCGTTTTACGCGCATGCGACCTGCACGGCCATGATGGTGTGGGTTCATGCCCATGGGCCGGCATACGTACGTACATCGTGCAGTACTGTCCGACTGTCCGTGGTTGCATACAAACGCAAAGGGACGAGCAACTTTCTAGGTAGGTATATCCTTCCCGAGCAGAGTGCAAAGATGATGGATTTATGCATGGATGGATGCTTTGCTTCTGCACATAGCACGCTCTTTAAACATTCTTGGCAGGAATCGCTTGTGCGGTTGTGTCATTCTCTGATAGATCGAGTTTGCCTTTATGCATGCAATGCATAGAGCTATCCACCTCGCAGCTCGGTGCGCCCGGCCGAGGCCCGAGGCCGACCGGCGCGCAGTGGCCACGGGCGTGCGCTACCTGAAAGAGAAGTTGGCCACGGGCAGAGAGCGAGAGCCAGAGTAGTCCAGAGACCCACCTCATTCGCCAAAGAATATTATTGCCTCTTCAGTCTTCACTAACGCGTGCGTTGGAAAAGAGAGAGATGGATCGGATACGTGTCTGACCAGCGACTGACAAATCACAATTCACAAATGGGATCGTGTGGCGGTGGGCGGCTGTACATCATCGGCGTCTAGTGATCATATTATACTTATATTCGAGAGGAAATCATTCATGAGGCGATCAACAACAGCTAAGATTCAGGCCTTTTGTATAGTGTGGATGGAACAGTGGATGCTCGGATTTGGTAGCCTACTAGCCTAGCTAAGCAAATAGCTCGATCTTTTTCTCCGTCCAGAAAACTGGAAAGAAAATTGTCGTCGAATGCCCTAAACTAATAGCTACAGTACTTCATATATTCCCTGGAGCTTCGTAGGATAATCAACAGCTAAGTCATGCATGTGAGACAGCATTGGCCTGTTCGGATTTATTCTCTATCCATGACACTATTGAATCAACGATCAGTCCTTAGCCTTTGTTTAGATTGCAAATTTTTGCAACATGGACACTGTAGCACGTTTCGTTTGTATTTGACAAACTTTGTTCGATCATGGACTAACTAGGCTCAAAAGATCCATCTCGTGATTTACAACCAAACTGTGTAATTAGTTATTTTTTTTACCTATATTTAATACTCCATACATGCGTCCAAAAATTAATGTGATGGAGAGAAAGTGAAAAAACTTAAAATTTGGAGGTGATCTAAACAAGGCCTTATTGAAAATAAAATCGTCACATGTGTCCTAACCGCCTACCTGCAGGAACTGATTGGACTGGGGAGGTACGAGCAGTGTTGTTCTGTCGTAACTACCTGATGTACCAGCACTGCACCTGATTGATGGCTCCACAAAAGCCGAAATGACAATGGCCAGTCTGACTGATCGGTACAAGGACATCGCAATGGTTAGACATAGTTATTATCTTTTAAGCCGACCTTAATTTTTAGTACATAATTTTTAACATAGATAAATTCATATTGGATCCATATAATCCTCTTACCTAACCTTAAAATATGTATAACAACTTAGCACGTGACCAAGAGCGTCCCCAATCTACGACAAATCGCCGGCTCTGGCCAAATCCTATTGGCTGCACAGGAGGGGAAGAGCGAGCTAGCGCTTACCTCCTAGGCCTGGTTTAGATTGCAAATTTTTATAATCCGGATACTGTAGCACGTTTCGTTTGTATTTGACAAACTTTGTCCGATCATAGACTAGGCTCAAAAGATTCATCTCGTGATTTACAACCAAACTGTGCAATTAATTATTTTTTTACCTACATTTAATGCTCCATGTATGTGTCTAAAAATTGATGTGATGAAGAGAGTGTGAAAAAACTTGAAATTTTGATGAGATCTAAACAAGGCCCTAGCTGGTCTCGCACGGATTTCGAGAAAGAGCTCTCTCAGCTATGCTAATTCCCGTACCTGCTCTCTGCACTGTTCTGTTTTTTCTTACTTCTAGCTCTCAACTGCGCTAGCAATTTGATGACCCCCCGTTTGAATGCCCTAAGAGCTAATTTTTCTCTCTTCTATTAAAGTATGAGAAAAATGCTTAGAACTAGTTTAAAAGTTAATTGTTGGAGCTGTCTTTATGGCTTCATGGTCTGAATGTCTAAATTATACTGCTCCCTCCATCCACAAAAGAATACAACTATATGTTACGTGTAGGTCATGCAAACTAGTTTAATTTTGATCGAGTTTACAGTGAATAATATTAATTTCTAAATTTATTAGGACAATATATTTCATAGTCAATTTAATAATACTTATTTTGTATCATAAATGTTAGTATATTTTTATAATAAGGTAAAACTTCAATTCATTTGATTTCTCGAAAAACAAGAATCGTATTCTTTTGTGTACAGAGACAGTACTGCACTTACACGAGAGGCACGGAGTATTAACTTAGAACAAACTATCTTAACATCCTTATTTTTTAACCATGATTTGAAATCAGGGTCTTATCAGTTAGTAGCTAGAGACTACAGGATATATCTAGCAGGAGGACATTTCCAACTTGCAAGTAATATAACATATATAGCCCAATCATCCTCCCTAGCTAGACGGTTCACGTTTCCAACTAACTTACTAACATATTACCCCAGGGGTCCGACGAACAGCTCAGCCGGTGCAACCAAAACACTGCTAGACCTCTCTGACTGTCTGACGCTTTGCTTGGGATGTTGGCAACGCCTCTGCAGAGATCCCCACGAGGACGGGCTACGTGAATTAGGCCACAAGGTTTCCTCACTCATAGCTCAGAAGAAACATACAGCGACACCCTTCGTTCCGGGAGCGTGTGTTGACTACTGACTTGCAGCGTGCTAGCTGATCATGCCATATATTGCCATGCAAGCAAAGCCAGCAATCCAGCATGCTCGCCCTTGCAGTCAGAGTCAGCAAATGGAGCTTCAGCATCACTGTGGGTAGCACTGTAGTAGCTACAGCCGTAGTGCGTAGCGCCTATATCCTTCTCCTTCTCGAAGGGTGCACTCTGCGTCGAGTGGGTACCATCAGTGCCACTAGTAATGGACCAGAAATACAGAACGTGTTGCATATATGCATCTACCAATCATGCTCTTCCATCGATCTCTTCTGACCAGCGACTCCGGCTGATGACGCGCTGATCGAGCACGCGCAAGAGGGACATTGATGAGGCTGACAGCTGGGCCCTATGTCGTTTTCTGCTTGACCATACTACATACATAGCGTTGGTCAATTTCGGATTGGGAAGGAGATGGGCATCGCAGTCGCAGTGGAAATTTTATCCCCTTCCGTTCTAATATTCCTTTTTTATATAGAGAGATGCATGATGCTTAATTAATGTAATTAGATTAGGAGGCTTCAACTATCAACTTGATAGAATGTCTAGAGTGCAGAAGTATCATCGTAGGAACTTTGCGTAAATTTCATATGAAGAACTTTGACTCCTGCATATGTATTTTTTCCCTTTTTAAAAAAAAAAAAATCCCACATTCCGAGAACTGAAATCAGCTACGTTTTTTTTTCGAATAAAATGTGCTACGTTTAAGGTTAACAGAATGGTGTGCAAGTGCAATAGGGTAGTACAAAACGGTGTGCAACTAAATGGCAAATAGAGAAGTCCTGTGGGAAACTGTGACTAGCAACTCAGAAGGCGTTTAGGTTAGACTGTCTCCAACAGCCCCAACCTAAATGCGAGACGCATTTGATAGATTGGGTCGCGCACAGCAGAATGGCTAGGCACCCAAAACTTCCCTTTTCTAACGGAGAACGCAAAAGAGAAACCAGAACGCCGCCCACCAAGCCCCGCTGAGCGCCGCGGACCCGCCTAGCCGCGCGCTCCTCCGTGCGCCTCTCCACCTCCTGCGCCACGGCGCGCACCGCCGCCTCGTCGTCGGTCCCAGCGTCCAGCGCCGACGCGAGCCTGTGGACGCCCTCGTCGAAGGCGCCCACCTCACCGGCGGCCCGCTCGTTCACTCCGCTGCCGCCGCGACGTCCAGCGGCCAGATCCACGCACGGGGAGTGGCAGCGGGCACCGGAGGGCTCGGCCGAGGACTCCACGAGGCTAGAGACGGAGGAGGAAGGGAGTGGTTCCGCGGTGGTAGATCCGTCGGTCCTGTCGCCGGAGATGGACTCCTCCGTCGAGAAGGTGAGCTCCGATCCGCGGTCTCCCCGCTCGATTTGTGTCCCGGATGCGGGGTTGGTGCGGGTGTTTATTAATCGTGCTGTCTATTTCATTCTTCTGCCGTCGCAGCAGGGGAGCGGGGCGCTGGATCCGGACGAGGGCCCGCCGGCCTCCGGCGAGGCCAAGGCCTGCACCGAGTGCCACACCTCCGAGCTTGAGCACTTTCCTCTTCTTTCCCCTCCCTCGAAACGGTTGTGCTGGCACGGGAGAGAATTGGGTCGAGGAGAGAGACAAAGGCATATTTGGGTTCCCACTCGACTCCGACGCAAATTGGGTCTTTGGTTTGGGTACTCCGTTGGACCGTCATTTTTTCACCTAAAGCAACATGGACGACGTATATTTGGGTTTGGGTGCCGTGATGGCTAGAGAGACAGAGGATAGTAACGTGAAGAGGGGCAGAGGAAGACCGAAGTTGACTTGGGTAGAGGCAATAAAAGGAGACTTGAAAGGATGGAATATACCAAAAGACTTAGCCTTAGATAGGAATGCTTGAAAAACAGTTATTCACGTGCCTGAACCTTGATTGCTTCTGCTGGATTTTAACTCTAGCCTACCCAATTTATTTAGGACTTAAGAGCATCTCCAAGAGTTTGTCAAATTTTACTTGGCTCCCAAAATTATATGCCAAGTAAAAAAACAATCCATCTCCAAGAGTTTGGCATTTTTGACTTGGTAAAATAAAAAAACCCGTTAAGCGAACGAAGAGCCCCGCTAAGCGAACGAAGAGCCCCGCTAAGAAACGAAAAGCCCCGGATGCCAAGCCGTATACGCGCGCATATATTTACGCGCGCGGAGGAAAGATTTACCAAGTTGATATTGATGTCAAGTTGTTTTGCTAAACTGTTGGAGGCTATTTTTTCTGGTTTTATCAAAATTATATGATGTTAAGTTAAGATAGCAAACTCTTGAAGATGCTCTGAATGCTTCGTTGTTGTGGTTGTTGTGTGGGTGCCGTGATGGCTAGGCTGATGGAGACTGTCTTACAGCATCAACTTCCAACAGGAAACGTCCAATTAATGGTGAGCGTGATTATTTGATGTGATAGCATAGCTAGCTCCTCTCTTCCCCTCCTGTTGGTTGGGACTAATGCTGTACTGCGACCAGTGACTAGTCTACTCCAGCTGAGTAGTATCTTACCGAAACATGCATCAGCACCTAGCTAACTGCTACTGTAGCTAAGCTCCTGGTACCAAGGCTACCGGTACGTCCGGTCATCCTGAAATTTACCTTATACCGGTGGATATGCTGAAATGTTGTGAGAGAAAAACATCGTTGCACGATTGAAAAGTAATGCTCAACGTCCTGCATCGCCCTCAGCTCTCAACGACTTATCTAACCACTCCGCTTCTTAGTCAATATCTCGACTTCGAAGGTAGAGTGAACGTCTCAACTAATTGTCTCTTATCAGAGCCATCGTCACCTTATCTGTATCTCTCGATCGATTCCTAACCGCTTTCTCTGCAGAATTCGGCATCAGGGCATCAGGCACATACATGCATGTTGCAGACATGAGCCATGGCCGCCAAGCACAAGAAACATGCAGCAGTAGAAGCTTCTATCCAAGACAATCATGGAGCTAGCAGAAGCGCAGCAACGACAAGCAGCGCGAGGGAATTAATGGCGAGTCAAGTACGAGCAGACAGCGGAGTAAATGGTGCAGGTAGGTGTAGGACGACGTACGCTGCCGCAAAGCAGGGAGAGGATCGAGCAAAGCGAGCATACGTACCGCCGTTGAGCCAGAGCACCAGCGGCTTCTTGTCGGGCGACGCGGTGGCCTCGAAGAACCAGTAGAAGAGCGCGCGGCCGTGCGTCTCGTTCACGGTCACGTACCCGGCGTACTGCGCGAACCCCACGGGCGGCTGCCCCGGGAGCCCCGCCACGCGGTCGGCCGCCTGCTGCGCCGCGGCCACGGCGTCCACCTGCTGCGCCGCGGCGGCCGCGACGACGACGGAGCAGAGCCAGAGGGCAAGCGCGAGCAAGGAGAAGGCAGGCCCCATCGTGAGCTAGGATGCGTGGTGCGCCGCTGCCGCTGCCGCTCCTCAGCTCCTCGCTGCTGGTGCGTCGTCACATCGCCCCCGGGTGGCTATATATAACACAGGCCCCGCTGACCGGGGGAGGGCCGCGGCCGAGGCCTCCATAAAAACCTCCGATCCGGCTGCGGCCGACGGCCGTGATTGCGTCAGTAACTCAACACAACTATGGGCCAGCCATGCATCTATGCTATGTGGTGTTACTGTGGTCAGACCAGTTACCGGTTTGACATAGGGCGCTCCCAACATATGGTTTCTATCATGCATTAAGTAGAGGGGCAATTAAACAAAAAAAAATGATGTACCCTTTCAAAAAGAAAGATGAGTAATAGTTTCTTACATAAGAAACCTAAGTCAAGCTATTCAAATTTGACCAAATTCGTAGAAAAGAGCATCAATACTTTTGTCATCAAATTAGTATCACTAAATAAATCATGAAATATTTTTTATAACATACTTATTTGATGTGTAGATATTGTTATCTTTTTATATAAAGTTAGTCAAACCTATTGTAGTTTGACTTAGGGTGACTCTAGCCGTTCATTTATCTTGGGACAAAAGAGTATCGCATTAGTAATCGTTCAAGATCAATAAAATTTTCTTTGTCAAACAAGAAATGCTCAAGACGACCACAATGACCTTGGAGACGACCATAGCTGAGTTAGCTACATGAAAAGGAAAAACTACTCCCTTTGTGCCACAAATACTGCATTTCTAGTACCATGCACAAAATCAATGATAGATGAGAATTTACAAAACTGCCCTTGTAGAGTACTCCCTTAATCCACGCATGCAGGTATGGCAGATTTTTTATTTTTTATTTTTGACTAGTGACACGATTTGTATAGAGAGTCCGAAACTCCCGGAGGCTAGAGAGATTTATGTGTGAACGGTTGTTTCTTTTTCGGCCGTATGATGTTTTTTAAATAATTGGGACCCACCTAATCTAATAGTGATAGTACCTATATGTATATTTTTTGTGTGATAAAATTCAAACTCTAAAATTATGGTCTTTTTGGACACGAGGAGTACTCTCTCTACCTCCCCCTCCCTCTCCTCATCTTCTTTGGCCATGAGAAATCGATTAATGTTTTTCTTGTCACTAGTGAACACTGTTCCCTCCTTCGTATTAGATTTCAACATAGTTAGTCGGCGATGTCATACGCTGTTGAGGCTGGATTTATGAGAGGAAGGTTCAAAATTATAGCTTATTAAAGAGAGATAGAGTGAATGATCTTAATTGTAATTAAATGTTTGTGACCGTGGTGCTCAAAGGTAGCTGGGCCTTTAAGTTAGAGCTAGGGTTTATGGTTTCAAATTATAGGATTATGGTGATGTTTGTGTTTGCCAGAGCACGAAGGCTAGAGAAATGCATGTCCAAGGAGAAGGAGGTTACTAGTCTGTGAGATAACTAGGCGGCAGGTGGCGCTACTTGTCGTGGCGATGGAGGAGACCGCTTGCAAGTTTGGAAGGGTCAGCAGGGGAGGCAGCTAGGCCTAGACATGAGAGGATGGGAGGAGTAGGATGACCCTATCTGCGGTTGAAGGCAACACTAGCCAAATAGAGACTGACGGTGGGGTAGGGTGGGTGGAGAAAGGCGAAGAGAGTGAGAGTGGACAGAGGGTGATGAGGTAAGGAAGAGGAAGCAACATTTAGGTTCAGAGGGGCGCTGGGGGGTGTTGGGGGGGAGGGGAGGGATAATGTTATCTAGAGAGACCTCTCTGGTTATATGTGTTATTGTTTTGATATTATACTTTGCATGATATAAGATATAGTATATCTAAGTCATTGAATCATTTCTTGTGTATAGTATGTATACCTATCTTATTATATTTATTTATATAAAATTAAGTGTAGTATTGTTCTTATTAGTGTAAACATGTACAAAGAGCTAATATTCTGAGATCTTTAGTAAGCTACTAGGCCTAAAATATACCACTATGAGTGCAAATTATATAAAATGGAAAAGCGTTATATTAATGTTTTTTGTGAGACCCAATTACAGACGCAGACGCTCGCATACACGAGCACACCCTCACCCCTATGAACGTGTGCATGCACACCCTACCCCTATGAGCACCTTCGAAGAACTGAGTTGGGTCGGCAAATCTTGAGATTGACGAAGTCACCACAGACGCCTTACTGTCGACGGGCACATCGTCTACCACTGAAAGAATAGAGCCATTAAATTCTAGAATAAATCCAGAAAAATACGAGCACCCGTGTCAAATCAGGGACTTGAACTTGGGTGGGCAGGTTCCACCACAAGGAACCCAACCAGCTGAGCTACGCTCAGTTCACTTATCTTAATGTTTATTCATGAGGAATGTTAAACAACTATCGGTTGTTTTAGCTCCATGTATCAACCGAATCTATGGCCGTCCGATGATCAGCGGAGCCTGGTTGTTTGGTGTCGGATCTCGTCTCTGGCTAGCCGCCCCGCTGCCCCCAGTCCGCCACCAGCCCTTTGCCGCCGACAATTCTCCCCAGTCTGCTACCAGCCTCGAAGCTCGCGGCCCCGACCATGGCGGGCACGGCGCGGGGCACGCGGGGCTGGCAGCCGACGACGTGCAGGGCCAGCGACAAGGAGGGCGCGACGGGTACGGCTCACGGGGAAGGGAAGGGAAGGGATATAAGGTTGGAGGGTGGGTCCCACCATAATTTGTGAACAATTTGTAATTTGTTCTGAAATTTATGAACACTTTGTGAATAATTTGACATATATTCTCTGATATCTGCAATGCATAGAAATAATTTGTAAGTTTTTCTGAACAATTTGGCATATATTTTCTGAGATCTGCAATCTATAGAAATAAAAGTTGTGTTATCCCGAAATTACATCACTCTGTCCAATAAATTAAATTGAAGAAATTATTGTAAATATAATAATTAATAGGACATTGTAAATATAACTAGAAGATAGTATAAGTGCATGGTAAAATTCAGTTGACAGGAGGGGCCAAAACAATTAAATGTCACATTCTTATTCATACCAGTGCACTACACTAAATCCGTTATTCTATATTATATAGAGCTGCCCATGTTTAGAACTTCAGATGCATTACACTAATCCGTAATATAGAGCTGCCCCTAGTTTAGACCTGTGACGTAGCCGGCACATTATGAGCACCTTTTTTTCCCCACCGTAAGTAACTTCGATCCTGTTTTACAGAGTACCATAATTGCATTCAGATTCAGAGATATCCCAATGCCAGGATAGCTTGTTTTACAGAGCAACATAATGACATTCGCATGCTCTTTTAGCAACTTGACGAATGGCGACGAGGTAGCTTCAGTAGCTATAAGGGAATAAGTTTACAACCTGGCAGAAGGTTTTGCGTTTGGAATTAGCAATGATGCTGACGAGTAAGTCTGAAGAACGGCGTCTATGGAAAGACGGTTGGAGCTGGACCCAGCACTGCCGGATAACTTGTCGGGCGTTCGCCCCTGTTACTGGTTAGCCTGATCGATCTGGGCGTTCAGCAACTGCATTCTGTCTGTTTTTTCGCTTGGGTGCTCTTTGCTCTCCAGCTCGCATATAAACTGAGACTGGATACTGGAGGATTTTTTTTATTTTTTAATCCTTTTTAAACAATATTTTAATACTAATCCAAAAAAAAATATTTGCAAATCTGACTCTTTTATCGCACCAGCGCTCCTGGTGCGACTGTACCACGCTGTCATGCCACATGCGATGACGCGACAAGCCGAGCCACCGTGGCAATCATGTTTGGCCGATGCTGGCCTCGTGGCGTACCATGGGCCCCGCCCTGTCGTGCCAGCGACCAGGCGCGACAGGCCCATATAAAGGCCGTGGCCCAACTCGTTTTTCCTCCCTCTCTTCTATCTCCCTTCCTGCTGGGCGACCTCAAGGTGACATGATGTAGTAGTGTTCTCTCTTCTTTTCCTCCCATCCTCTATTTGTCTTTGATGAAGTTTGCATTTGCATTTCAGGTTTGATCGGTCCCGTGCATGAGGTTTGACTCCCTCACCTCTGTTGTTATTTTTTGTTTAGTTGATGTTTTTATACTGCTCTGTTTTTTTGTTTAATGAAAGTTTCTTTGGCTAATCATGTTTAATATATTATGGTTTATTATGTACTTGTTGAACTGTATGATTTTTCTGATTAGTTTTGGTTGGCACTGCATTAGGGTTTGACTGCACTGGTTTCGACAGCAGTATGGGTTGAAGTGTTGTTAGTAAACCTTCTTGGAAGTGTGTGATTTCAAGTATTTTTGTGTTGATTAGATGTATAGATGAGTTGGACTATGTATGTATAGATATCATTTACATTCAAAAAGTTTGTTTTAGGGTTTGGCTTCATGGGCTTTCATGATTATAGAGATGATTGAGATGAAAATTGTTGTTGAAGTGTGTAATAGTATTGGTTCATATCTTTCCTTTGTTGAACTACTTTGTAATAGGTTCAATGGCGGTTCCAAATGACAACCAATTCGTGCACCATCCGAAGGATCATGGTGCTATCGGTCCTTTCCTACCAGCAGAGCCAATACCGTTGTGTTTCTATGGGTTACCGGCATTTGTGAAGCAGTCAAGGCATCCCGCGTCAGCTGGGCGTGCTTTCTACTGTTGCCAACTTAAGCGACGTCCCCCGACACTTGTGCCTACCTAGAGGGATGCAGCTTCTATCAGTGGATCGATGGCGATGAAATGTTCGAGCCGTTGATTATGTTGTTTCCTTATGACCCCTGGAAGAGTGTTCCATATGCAGAATATGTCCGTTGGGTTCCGCCGCCACTGAACCTTTCGGAAATGACAGAGGTGGAGAAGGTTGACGCTGCTTTGCGCCGTCTAGCCAATCCTCCTAGATGCCATTGTGGAGTGTCGGCGCGATTAACTACTCCCAGCCAACTTGGAGCATTCACTGCCTTCTATCGCTGTGGATTGCCAGATTATGTAAGTTCTCATGAAAGCAATCTATTCTAAGCTTGTATGCGTTTTGCACA